GTTCGCATCCCCCGACTCATAATCGAAGTGGTCTCGTGCGATCTCATGCGCGGCCATCATTAAGTCGGCTGGGCTGCCTGCGGTTACGGAATCGCCCGCAGAAGCCCCCTTGACTCTCTCTCTATAAAAAAAAAGCGTTCTGCGTCATCCAGCGGCGCTGGCGCAGGTTTTTATTCCTTCTGCCCAGCTCCCCGAAAACACTTTATGGCCGCTTATGGTATCGGAGGCGACTGAAGTACTACCTTCTTTTCTGTTGCATGATGCTAACGAAACCGAAACCCTGGACGGCACTCTGTCTTGTGTGCTCAGAGGAACTCCAACTTACAACTAGACTTTGTCTTTCACACTCCATAGCTCTAGCTCTAAGCCGAGGATTTGGTTATTAACCCGAAGAGGTGCCCGTGGACGGGCGAGCACTAAATGAAAGGGGTGAAACTGACTCCACATTGGATGATCGTGTACATTCACGCGCGAATTGCGTATTATATATTATATAAGTCCTGTGCGATCCCGCTGTTCGCCTGCGTATTGAAATGATAACCTACAAAGCTTGGATTCCAGTGCTGTTTGATAAAGAAAAGAGCGGTTAACGGAAGACTTCTCAGAAGTAAAGAGCCCTTATTATTCGGATTTGAACTTAAGCCTATTTTCTAAAGGGCCTTACACTGAACACAAAGAAAATATAGACGAATAAGCAAGGAAAAGAAAAGATTCGACTTCGGATTCTGAAAAGAATGACTAGCGACCCTTCTTCCTAATTCTATTCAATAGGAGCAGAGTCATGAACAAGAATAGCCACCTCCTTATTTTTTTACGCAATTAATTGACGACTTTCTTCTCCACCCGTAGGAGCCGACCTCGCCTAGTATAGCTGCGCTTTCTTTTCTTCTTCTTGGTCTAGTCTATCTACCCGTCTCTAAGCCCCTCACCTTCCCTTATTGGAGTACAGGTCAGAGGAAGAGATTTAAAGTGAGAGGCAATACTGAACCGCAGCCACATCGAGTGACTTCCCCTCAAAGCCTTCTTCCGAACTTGCCAACAAAAGCAGATCGGTCTCTATCAAAAAATCAAAGGGGTCAAAATCACCAACTTTCATAGTTCCAACGACTGGGTATGGATCCGCGCGAGATGATAGCTTTCTCGGGTTTTTGATTTGAATGGTTGCTGCTTTGTTGATTTGCCTCTTGGTAACGGGAAAAACTAGCAAAGGTTTTATTTATTTACTTTTCTTTTGTATACCTTTGCCGGAAGTCGATGACTATTCATAGCTATTACCTTGACACCAAAGAAGAGTTCGACCCAATGCTTTATTTCTGTCCTAGTTGATCCCGATTCGACATTAAAAGTATATTGATTTTTCCCCAATAACCGAATACTTTTGTCTGTAAATACTGCATATTTGATTCCATCCATAAATCTATTTATTTCCCTATGAGTTCTAGTCTCAATAAGAATGCTAGTTCTTACTGTTCATATATTATGATATGAATATACCACACCAATTCGTTATGTATGGATGATGAGATTCCATTGATACAGAGCCAATTCCAATAGACTTATTGGAGGGTCCCATTGGCGTGCATCCAGTAGGAATTGAACCTACGAATTTGCCTCTTGTATAGGTTTGGCGCTTTAACCATTCAGCCATGGATGCATGAGACTCAGCGAGTGAACTAGGTTTTGGTATTCCTTCTCGAGCTTCTATTTCTTCGGTTAAAGGAGATTCGAGAAAAGATGGAATAGGAAGACGTGTTTCCAGAACGAACAAGATACGGGTTGAGAAGGGGGAGTTAGCAAAGTTAGACAAGATTGGAATGGGCATAGGAACATGTATTGATGTACCAGATCGGCTAATGCTCCCAGGTTGATGCGATGTATTCCACCAGTTGACTGAAGACTTGATTATTGGTATATCGATCGGTCCAGCACGGATTGAAATAGGAGCCGGTTCGACAGAAAGCTTTTGAAAACGCAGTGCACCCAGGTAAATAAGGAACAAGATGAATACAGAGGTTAAACGAGCATCCCACACCCAAAAGGTGCCCCACATAGGTCTTCCCCGAAACCCCCCAGTAACTAAGGTAAACAACGTAGAAAAAGCACCCATTTCTGTACCGGTTCCGGAAGAGCGAAGAAAAAGGGGATGCTTTGTTAATAGGAACAAGAAAGTGTTTATAGCCGTTGCGATATAAACAAGAATACTCATCCGAGCCGCAGGAACATGTACATACGGAATACGAGAATTTCCACCTTGTTGAAGATCTAGTGGTGCTACCCGAAGACTTAAATGAATAGCCATCGCTGTTAAGAACAACCGAGATCCAATGAGAATTTGCGCGTAACTCCTGGTCTTTGACATCAAAAAAGAAGGTTGTAAAAACGAAAAAAGGGACATGTCAAAATTTTGTCCTAGTTAGTGGAACAAGAAAGACATGGATCTATATTAAATACGCAATCAAAGCACTTCTCCCAAAAAAATAGAAAAATTCCCCTTTCTTTCTTTTTGCTTCGCTCGTGCGTGGGACTCCTTGCTCGCGGAGCGGCATACCGAAAAAAAGAGAAGCCCTTTATCGGATTGGAACCGATGATTTACGCTCTTAGGGCCTTTCAAGAGCGTGACACAGACTCCGGGAAGACTTCATTAGACTTGCATGTGTTAAGCATCGTGAATCACAGCCAAACTCACTTTCAGTCTGCTATCTTGTCTCACCTGTGTGTGTTATAATATGGCTTGGGCGCAGAGGCCAGGCGGGTAGTCCCTATCTGCTGTCATGCCCCCCCTAAAGGCTGTGTCAAACTCCCGATAGTCCAATATCGTAGATCAAGAGAGAAAGCCAATCCACAGCTTATTCGGATTGGACTTGGGCCTCCTCTTTTTGCAAAAAGCCGCTCCACGGTGGTAAAGTCTCATCTTGTGTGTTGGCCGAAGTGACAATAGTTACATTGAACCCTCGAATATGTTCGAAGATCTCGAAATGATCTTCCAGTTCCGGGGAGAATTCGCAAAACTCCGTTTCCATTGAGAATTGAATAGAGTTTTCCCGTATTTCGACCGGAGAATCTAACAGAGACATTACTGTGGAGATTCTGACCAAAAAATTAGACATTCCATGCCCTCGGAGAGTGCTTTGTCGTGCTAGGTCACTGACATATCCTTTTTTGTCTTTATTTGACCCCAAGAATGGATTGGATCGAAACGACTTTCCTGTCGAAGCTCTTTGTGTCTGTATTAATTTCTGATCGCGCGGAATCTCCATAGCCAATTTTCCATTTTTGATAGAAGGTGCTGCCTTTGGTACTACTCTTATTTTACACGATCCAGGAACTTCCATAACGTTGGCGTGATTCGGTTTGAGCAACAGATCCTGACGTGATACATCTTCGTAATGAAAATAGAATGGAAACATGAGTTGTCTTTATCAGTATCTATAATAGAATAAGCACTGTGAACTATCCGCTTCAAAAGGATAGTTGTGCAGCCTACACGTAGAAAAATCATCCACCCCTCCCACCTTTCGGTGAGATATTGACCTTTGAAAACGAAAAAATAGCAGACGATGCACATAACTAATCCCCATTAAAATATTCTTCAAAAAAGCTCTCTAAGAGCAGTTTCATTCTGGTAAAATTGTTAATGTACTCTGAGAGATTTGCTATTTCTACATCAGACTTACCATCATCAATATCCAATTGGGATATAGCGAAATTCTGAGCGAAATAGTCAAAATCCTCCTCTTTCAAATACGGATACTTATCGGCTACACCCGGCGAAGCGCAGTACTTTTTAAACAGTTTTTTGAGTACTGTATACAGCTTCTTTTTAGCCACCTCTTTTTTATGTGCCTGTGAGGACCCCGAAGCATAGTGATTCGGGTCTGGGCGATCCTCCTCGCTTTGCGCACCGGGAAGGAGCCCCAAACCGGAATTCTCTGGTGGAGGGGTAGGGGTTGGCGGTTGACTGAACCCCCCTTCATTGATTCCTCCCGAGGTATGAAGAAAGGGGGCCACTGCCTGGTGCAGCTCGTCCATCAATAGATATCCAAGCGAATACACAATTTTTAATAGAATGAGAGAACAAAATAAGTATATATAGATAGAACCTTTGGGGGAGATTCTCTTTCTCAAGGGGAAGAGTTGCAGTACTCTCTGCTTCCAAAACATCAGAAAAACATACAAAAAAGTGGAGAATTCGAAGTTATTCCAGAAACGACTTAGTATCATATCATTCTCATCTGAGGCCGTAGAATAAAATCTACTAGCATAACCAAAACCACTGTGGGAGACAGTAGAAAGCACATGACCAAATAACACCTTACGCACACTAGAACAACGAAATACAATTGTAGACTCAGGTACTAACATAGGCAGTAGCATTCTCGCCGAATGGCTACGAGAGTAGGATATCATTAGTTTTCTCATGGTGAGATCCGGTTTTTAGGTTATTTTATGGGACTGACTCCGCTATTGCCATCCCCCCATGGGAATCCCGAACCCTTTTGAGGTCCCCGATTATAAGTTCTCGTTGACCACGACCTATAGGAACGAGGCTATCTACCGCTTTTAAACCTGTTTGCATAGGCTCGTGCACAGATTTACGTTCAATAATCCCAGGGGCTTTCACTTCGACACGTCTTCGCTCGTGATCGCTTAGAGCTCCTCTTCCATCAATAGGTACTCCCAACGCGTCGACCACACGCCCTAGCATAGCCTTTCCCGCAGGAACATCCACAATAGATCCAGTGCGCTTGACAAGATCTCCTTCTTTAATAGCAGTATCACTACCAAAGACAACAATCCCAACATTCTCATTCTCAAGATTCAAGGCTATTCCTTTCACACCGCTGGCAAATTCAACCATTTCCCCAGCTTGAATCTCGTTCAATCCATAAACACGTGCAATCCCATCTCCAACTGAGACCACTCGACCGATCTCATCCACTTTCAAATTCGTGTAAAAGTTGCTAATTCTACTTTCTAATAGACTTGTTAGTTCCGCAGCTCGGGGAGAAAGTTCCATAATTCAAGATCGAGTCAAGGGAGAATGCCGCTTCAAATCTCACTGCACCCCCCTAACCCCAAGCCCCGCCTTGTTCTAAAAGACGGATGGTGCTAATGAAGAATTCACTAGTGGCCCCATAAGTAGCAAGTTCTTTCACCGTATCGATTAAGAAATGCAAATTATTGAGATTGTCTTCTTCCAGGACGTGTGCTGTTAATTCGTGTATGGGCCAATTAGGGGATAGGGAGAAATTGTGCTTATTCAATAAACTCTCGGTCATGGTATCAATGGCACTCTTTGCCGAAAGAATGGCCTGCTCCTGCTGCTGAGCAGGAGTGTATATTTCCCCGTGTGGGGGACTAACAATGTTAGCCAAACTTTGGATCAGTTGGTTAAGTGTTATTATGGGCTCCCGCATAGATTGCGATTGATTTCTTGTAGTTCCGCTTCCTTCTAACAAACTGAAGAAAGACTTGTCGGAAATCTCCGAAATAAAGAAATGGGCTGCTTGGTCCAACCAAGAAAGACATGGGATTGTTTGGGCGTAACATTCTTGAACCGCTTATTTACGATATTTCGAGTTGGATGAAAACAGCGCTCCTAAAAGCGCAACATCTGAATGACTGGATCTATCGTACTATATCTCTAGTCTCAGACCAGACCATAAACCTTTCTTACTTACGCAATTCCTCGATCCAATCTCGCACGAGTAGTTAGTGCTTTTTTTAAAGCCGTTAACCTGATCGACGTAAGAACCGATCTCAAGCTTGATGAGCAGCAAACCAGGCAATCTGGCTTGACTTGGATAGAGCGGAAGCATAAGTAAGCGGCATGAACCTTGTTGATCAGCGAAGGATATAGCTAAAGAAAGACCTGCATCTGGCTTGAATTCGGACTTCACTAACCCGGAAGTTTGGTTATCTGAGCTAGCGGAATGTATGTAATCAAATTTGGAGTAACTAACAATTTTAGTTATCATGGGTAGGGACACTGTTGCTGAGATAATAACCTCTATACGAAATGCTGATATGGATAAAAAAAGGATGGTTCAAATAACATCTACTAATATTACCGAAAATATCGTTAAAATACTTTTACGAGAAGGTTTTATCGAAAATGCGAGAAAACAACAAATATTTTTTGGTTTTAACGCTGCGACATAGAAGGAACAATATTTGGCTAAGTTTTTACCATTGAAGTTTGGCGATTCAACAAATCGTCCCACAAAAAAACTTGCTACTTTCGCCAATAGGTTGAAAACTATTTTAAAGGAGAGAAACATTGTGGAGCAAATCTGCCTTCCCTCTTGTCTTGGTTCCCCGCCAACTCCTCGAATCTTTCCTTAAAAGCCAACATCGCGGTTGAATCCTTTCCGGTTGTTGTGTTGAGTACTCGCTCATTCGACTAAAAAAGAATCTGTTACTGAGGAGTTATTTGGCTTGAAGCCAGCAAGGCCCAGTCCAATCATTGATTCTTTCCAGGGAAAGACGGAGCGATCGAAACCATCGAAGTCAGAGTCCAAGCGCTAGCTTTCACACTAAGCTTTTTCTTCCGAGAGGAAGAAGCGGTCTAATCTGTCCTGGCTTCCAAGCCAGAGAGAGTAGGTAAGATGGCATAGGCATAGAAAGGGCATTCGTCCTTTAAGTAAAGAGAAGACTTCCTCTTTCTTTTTGGGAATAGCCGGTAGCAGGACAGAAATCCATCGATGTAAGGCAGGGCAGGAGAACGACTGGGATCTTATAGAGTTGTTGGCTTTCAAGCATTTTCCTCGCTCGTTTCGTTAGAGGAAGTGAACGGTTGGCTCGAAGAGGGAAGAGATGCGCTAGCTACTTGCTTTCTTAGAAAGCTAAGCGACTACTTTACTGTTGAGAGGTCAGGAATTCCTACCACAAACTCTTTCTTTTTCTTTTATTCTTATTCTTGCTTGCGAGACTTGACATAGTGAACCTTCCTGCTAAATTAGTAGCCAACGGGGAATATCCCTTTAATGGGAATGGGGCTACTTGCCTTTCTTCCTACGCTGGCTAAGCAAATCAGTCCTCAACCGAAAAAGGAAGGTTCTACCACGGTTGGGGTTAGCCATTCCTGTTAGCCTTGATGAGCTCCTCTTTGCCTTTAGGTAACTGTAGTCACTGGCTAATTGATTCTAAGGGTAAGCCTATCCACCTTGACTCGTTTTTATAGTTTACACACTTTTGTATTGCCGCTTCTTACTTTATATAGGATGAATCTGATTAACTTCCTGAACCACCAGCAGTTGACTCTGGGCATTGAGTCCTTACTCCTTCCGACAAGAGCGCTTACTTCTATGACACCATCACCGGTACCGGCTGCTCCTCCGCGCCGTGCCCTGGATATGCCATTTCCGCTAACACCTCGGTTGTTGCCACTTCCTCAAAACCAATAGTCGAATCTCCTGAACTTTTTTTTGGGTTCCCCCATAGGACATGCATCCAGTTTCTTTGCACGCTTACTAATTTTGTTCTTTTTCTTTTCAAATCCAATTTGACAGCCTTTTGAAAGAAATAATCATATGCAAGGCTCTTAACTTAATTAGTGTCTCTTCTCAAACTCACAGGTACTTTTTCAATCATAGCTTCTCAAAGGAGCCCCATCATTACCCGGTCCCGAAGTAAAGCCTTGCAAAAGCATATAAACATGAGTTCCCTACCAGAAAGAGCCGAAGGATCCGCTCTAGTCACGTCATCGGAAGTCACTGCACTAAGGGCACAGTTGAGTGAAGTGCTAGGGAAATTCAATGAGGTGAGCGAAGCTCGGGTCGGCATTTTTACATATGGAAGAAGAAAACTCACATTTAGAGAACAATCAACACACGGTTCCATTAGCTCTCGGCTTTTCTCTTTTCTTTTTCTTATTACGCTTGTGCCTTTGCAACTTTCGATGGGAATGGCTAAGACTATTGTATTGATGCACAGATTCTGCTGCTCAGTCATCCACGAAAAGTCAATATTTGAAGCCCTTGCTGGCCATACAAAAAGGTGTCAGATCTTACTTTCAGAGTTTGGTGTAAGTCACCCAGAAGCCCTAAATGAGTAAGGAAGAGTTTTATGGAAACCACCAACGGATCATCCTGTGCCTGAATATGACCTTTCTTTTTTTAGTAAGTGGCCGAATTTCTCCTACGGAAGCTATTCCATTTTCGGTAAGTCAGGACAAAGACTCGAAACGAATGAGACCTCTGCTTTCCTTCGGTCGATCCTCCTCTTCAATTACAATTGCCGGTGTGTTGAGTCAGATCTAGTGGCTTTGTGAAAAAATGAGACCTGCAGCGCCTGAATGAAATCTCAAACTCCTCAACCAGCAGAAGGCTTCAAAAGAACTTGGTTGGAGCACAATATGCTGGAAATCCGATGCGGGCAGTTACGAACTGAACGAAAAAAGAATAGAATAGAAATATATAGAATGCTAATACGAAGGGGGCAATGCTTTCACGCCCCCGCCTAGTCCAGTCCAATTGCCGGAAGAACCCGTAACTCCACCCGAGGAGCCGCCAGTGGAGTCTTCATCGAGCTCGGAATCCTTGGCTACCTTTCGCAATGTT